TAGTTTTGCAAGTAACGTTGGAAAAACGAATGAATTCAATCAAAGTTTTGTAGATAGAATAAATTTTCATTAAAACTGCACAGGAGTATTGGAAAACGTTGTGTTCCATTTCATAAGTATTGCTATAACTTAGGTCATCTTCCGGAAAGAACGGTTGTCGGTAAAGAGTTAATCGTTTCCAAAAACTTAAACAGAAGTCATCAACAGAGTAAAGTCACTCATCAACAGTTTGTTTAGTAAATGAACTTAAGTCAATTTACAATGGTGTACTTTCCATTGCATTACACTTCAAAACTCCTAGCTTTCATTTTTTTCTCATTAGGCTTGTATTACATCGTTAGGAAAAAGTCTACCTATTTTTTGCAACAGAAATCACAGAAGTTGTCTTTTGCTTAAATATAGACGAGTCAGTCTTTTTCTGGATGTTCTTACGTATTATGGTTAGCTTGTCGGAGGCTTCAGCACAATATAAGTTCATTATCATCACGTTGGTACTAATGTCTAGTTAGAAAGAACCGAAATATGTCTTAAATGATATTTTCAGAAAAGATTTAGTAGGTTGCACATATATTTGAGGTTAATCCCTTTTTAGGATTACCGGCGAGGTTAGAGTAGGAGCCACGAGCGGCACTAATGATCCCAGCCACAGGAAACAGTGCAGACTATTAACTAGGAAATGCAAAGGGAGAGGTTAAGCCAGTCGATACCCCGGAATACTAATATCGTGTTGCAAGAAAATTCTTCAGTTAATTAAATAGAGGTATTTTGAATAACTTTGAGTGTTAAAAATGCATATTGACATTTGATTCACACGCAGCTGCACCAGCTACACGGTGTTTCTCTTACATTCCTCTAACACCCCAGTAATTCTTCCGACTGACTTCCACGCATTCTCTGTTAGAGCCATATAATTCTGTTAATGTGTGCGAACAATCCCTCTGCATGGGATAACGGATCCGTTATCTTAGTGATGTGATAAGTTCAGAAGAGGATGATGCAAGAGAAATGAAATATTCGCAATTTCCCACGTTTCTAACTAACCTTCCTGGACAAATAATTCAAACCAAACCTAGTTTTTCAAGTGATAGATGGTGGCAAAGTAAGGAAAATGTTGATCAAAAAATGTTGATGTCTCCGGCATCGTCTGCATGTCATTCCCTTAGAACGGAAACATCGAGATAACAAAGCATTTTTGGAGATATCCTCTCTCTGTTATTTCCAAATTTCTGAGTTACTGTTATTCACACTCAGCGTAAGTTCCATATCCCTCGATGAATGTTTCCGAGATCAGGTGGATGGCCAAAATAAAAATTGCTTATGCACCTGAAAGTCTTAAATCGATCATCATTTGTATCGTGGTATTTCCTTCGTTTCCAAAGGAAATTGCATTGGATATGACTTTTCTTTCCTCAGTATTTAATTTTTGTGGGAAAAAAAGCTTTTAGCTGATAACTGGTATCACGGCAATCTCTTATCCAATTAGTTTACTCATCACTCATTGGCAATATTATCCTCCTCAGAGGCAATTCATTGAAGACGACTTTCCTCTTTACCCTGAGCTCAGTTCATCACTTCAATTATCAACTGTAAGGTTTAGTCCAAGTAGGAGTCATGACGCCCATAATAGTTGAAATTGAACTTCTATGGCTTGATAATGGAATTACTTCCACCTAACGATTCCAGATGAATCTCAGAAATCCAGTTTGTCTGCTAATATACCGTCAGTTTGTAGCATAGGACATATCTGTATGAGATGCCTTCATTTAAAGTTATGATTTCCTGTTCCATGGCACAGTATGTTCATTAATCTCAAAGAAATAAATTTTCATCGAATTTTACGAAAGTCTGAATGCTGTGATCTTTTGCATTTTAATTTAAAATGTAATCATCCGCTCATGATCTTATCTTTGGATTCGTATTTGTTTCATTCGGTCTAGTCCTCGTAGCTTTGCCAAAAAAATTTATTTGGTCATGTCTTGCAAATACTTTACGGCATTAAAATTCAAATTAAAGAGTTTAAGTCATGCCAAGAGATTACATTCACGGCCTCGGTCATGCAATATATAAGTTGACTTGTGAGACCTTATGTGACAAAACTGGACTTGCATTAATTAATTTTTGCTGTCTCTGTATGTGGAATATCAGATTATGGCACCTCATTGATTGCACTAGTCCTCAACCATAGATGTCAATAAAAGAAACATTAGAGTTTTCGGCTCAGCTACCATACCGTCATACTAGGGATGTATATTAAATTTATCACCTGAGATCAGTCTCCAGTAGGATTAGACAAGGATTTTTTTTAACAGAGAACGATAACAAAGTGAACAGCAATAAACCCTTCATCAAAAATGGTGGCTGAAAAGTTAACAACTAAACTTTAATAGTAAATTGTTTTTTATGTGACAGAATAGGTCGCGGTGATCAATGGTGAACCTTTACCAACCCCTTTTTCCTGGTCTAGAAATTGTCAAGTTCTCGTGACTTCTTGTAACACATGTCGTCGGTAGGTTAAATAGAATATTTTGATTCAAAAAGCAGAGTATGTTTTAACCTCGGTAATGTCAACATTGCTTCTGAAAAATTGTGTCAAACCGCAACATTTACAATCGCAGTTGGATGAGACAAATCATTTCAACGGTGAAATATAGGCATCACAATATCTCAACACTTATTGGCGATGGTTCTTAGGAATTACCAGAAAAAGCTATCTTGACAGTGCTTTTAATTTTCGCAATTTTTCAAAAGGAATGAAATCCTAATCTGTATATGAATTACACTACAAAAAACTCTTGAAGACGTATGATAGAAAGAGAGTACTACGCCAACCAGCGGGAGAGCAGCTTGGCAAAACAGAGAGGATCGACATGCATCAGTCACAGCAATTGAAAACCAAACAATCAAGCTTGACAAGGAGATGTGTAGTCAGTGACATTCATCACCTGAAGAGGACTGTCGTTATATAATGGTAAACTCGCCATTTGCGTTAAATGTGACAACTTTGCGATAGAAAGAACTTAATACTCTATTATTATCGTCTTACTCCAAGATAAATCACCCAAACCTCACGGGTATAACCGCAGCTTTAAAGGTAAAGATCACACACAGCAAGTATCGTTCCGGAAGTCAATGTCGCATCCGTGGGCAATGTACATAGTCTTATAAAGCTTCTAAGATTGATTAAAGTTAACTTTGGTTTTATTTTAATTTGTGTAAGCGTATGGGTCCTCTCGCAAATTTCCCTCAGCTTGAAGAATCTGTGTCCTAAAAAGCTTCAGCTCTCTTTTATGGACACTACTTTCTCGATGCAAAGTGAAAATGATATTAATTCAGCACGAAAGCATTCCTCTCAAAATGATTTAATTTAAGATTTTCCTCGGGATCAATTTATAGCATTATAAACATTTGCCTCGATTTAGCTAAAAATAAAAATAAAATAATCAGCGTTAAATCAGGACATTAATCCCGTTGCTTGTAAATCTGCGCGTGAAAGTTTTATCCGAAGAATCAAGTATAATTTAATTAGACTTCTGACGACAGAAGTTCTTAGAGTGTTTCCTTTCTGCCGATGCATGCTTTATATGATTTTAAGATTAAAGAAAACAAAAAAATTTCAAATTTTCGTTGGACAGCGCCGCTCACGAATACTAAATGTAAAACCAAGATTTGTTCTTATCGACCAAAGATGGTGACAAGATGCAATCTGCAATAAAAGAATACGAAACAGTATAAAGATACAGTAGGAGATTAATATTGACTTACAGCGATGGATTCTAAGTTAGTTTTATTGGTGATCGGTTAACGAGATTCTGCCAATGGAAGAACCTGGGCAGGCGCATGGGTTATTCTAAGACCTTCTTGGTAATTTATGCATCTGTAGGAACGCATTATTATCACCTCACAATCCGAAAAAAAGTATTTATTGGACCCAAAGTTGTTATATGTTTCGCACCAAGTTTTTCAGTTTAATCTTGTTTAACAAGTAATCCAGTAATAACAAATCTCATAAATAATCAGTGCTTTCCGTTTTGAAAATTATTTCCGGCTCATCTAAAACCACAGAAGAACCTTAAAAGAGCATTTGTTCCCATTTTGACGTGAAAAAGAACCCATTAAAGCTGACATATCGCATTTAACAATTTAAAAGTCTCAGTAATACTGAGAAAGCAAACTCCACTGCGACCTCAGGTAAAATGTTAACTTCCAGGAGTGTAGTGCAGCTCAGGAACAGTTTCGTGCTCTTATAAAGTTCATCAGTATTCAAGTGTAAGAGGAAGACAATGCACTATTCACTTTTCACCTCCATAATTTGATTGATGACATCCGACCACATCAAAACAGTTTTATAAGCTTAATTATTTGTTTGACGAGTACACCCATCTTTATACCCCAACTGTGACGTTCTGCATGATATTCATGGCGCTATCATGTAGCTGCATGCATCTGTATCGTATGAATCGAGGCTGAAACTAAAGCTATTAATAAATGGCATGGGAATAAAAGCGTCTTACAACCGGAATATGTATAATCTGAGGTTCTTTTGTTAACCCGATGAATAGAAATCAGACAAAGCCTCTGAAACTAAAATGAGAAAATATGTCCTCCACGAATTTAGCTACCTTCAATATGCGTCAGCCTCGCTAGTTCTATTCCGCTCCAGACGCATCAATAGAACTTCATTTGTTAGATTAATCCCCCTCTCAACCTGAAACATTCACTTCCCATTCCCACCACTTTTACTTACTCGCTAGCGATCTATGGTCAACTTTTGGCATTGACCCTCAGAGGAAACCTTAACAAGTAAATTTGCACGAAAAATGCTTACCATTTTTTCTTTATTCTTGAGTTTCTAAGCTAAGAAATGAAAGTTATTGCATATTTCTGAACAGAATCTAAGGTTTGTATTACCTGGCCTATCAGACCGTTGGTGCGTCATGCGCCTCACCGAGACCGAAATTAAGGCGTGAAGATGACATTTAGTCCCAGTTCTCTGGCGGTAACAACAAATATGGCGGACATAAGGCCTTCCGGCAAATACTGTCCAACTGTTAGAAATAGCGAAGACTTCTTGGTGTGGATTTATCGAGCGAAAGAGATAATCAATGGAAAAATATGGCTGCAAGTACCTCAAGGTAACTTTTTCACTGTTATGCTGGGCATTCCACAGCAAACAAAATACAGTCAGAACAAAAGCGTGGAGGAGTTACTCGGTCCTTAAGCCAGTTCGAGAGTCACTCCTTGTCTGCCAGCTCCAATTCATACTCGGGGATGAGTTATTCGAGCTCTAAACCAGATTGAGAAATATTCCTATAGCATTTAAGTGGATTGGAATTATCAAGTGTGCTCGGTTTTAAAATCTTATCATTGTTGTTAGAACACACAGACTGATGGATCACTGGAGCAGGTACTTAGGGATATATTACAATGGTAGTTCCTTAGGCGAAAATACCTTTTATTCGCAATACCGACCATAAGTTATTTTACATTTACAATTTCAAGTTTTCTATTTTCTTAAAATTATATAAAAAATAATAAAAAGTGCTGTGTCTTGTTCTATTTGTTTGTTTACTTTTCTGTCAAGGTTTGTTTGCTTTGGAACTGCAGTATATTATTAATTAATCTAGGAACTTGAAGGTTTTGTATAGGCATTAACATGATTTTAAGTGCAATTTGGTGTTAATGCGCATGATTGAAAACGAGACAAAAAAATTGCACAAACCCATAGGGAAACTGTAATTTGTAGTTTTTGAAAAATTTTCCAGTGCTTTATACGCCAAATTGCAAGAGAAATCATGTCATGACTTGTTTAATAATGTACATGAAAAGATGTCACAGAAAGTCAAGACAGATGAATTTTGAAAGTGTATGCTATTTGTAATTTGCACTTGTCTTACAAGAGAAAGCACTTGTTTTCAACCAATCAGAAGTGCATATTTTTTTCATGTACATTATTATACATGTAATTTGTCAAAACTTTAATAAATTAGATAACTCTTGCATTGCTTTCTTTTTCAACCAGGGCCCTGACCAAGAAATTTGGTGGTGATGTCTTGGAACAATTTTGAAGAGTTTAAGGTTGCCCATTGTTGTAGGATTTAAAACTTAAGTCAATAATAAGATCTTTTTCTTTCTAAAATTTCTCAAAAGAACGAAAGTGAGTTGTTTACAGGAATGTAAAATTGTATGTAAAATTGTATGTAAAGGAGATACATCATAGAAGTAGCAGTCAAATTTGAGGTCATTTTTTATTAAATTATCTGAGGATAATCTGGGAAGTCCTTAATTTGTGTATTTTTTCCAATGAATTTAAACAGAGATTTTCCAGAAATAGTGGAAATATTAGGAAAAAGAGGCCTGCGTCAAGTGTTGGTGAGTGTGAAGCAAAGTGGTTTTGTGTACTATGTACACACCCTGCATTAAGATGTAATAATTATTATTATAATTGTTATATAATTTGATTTAATTGCCCTGTTTGGTTTTATTCTGGGGTCAAATTATATTTTGTTTTACTTGTGACTGATTATAATCATAAATTATGTAACTGTACCCAATATCACAGAAATTAAACAAGATTTACTTAAAATTAAAGACAGGTTATAGTGTGATCTCTGTGTTTTGGTAGTTTTTGTTTTGCTTGATTAAGCAAATATGACTTGAATTTGTTGGGGGAAAATTTTGCTGTCCAATAGGTATCAAGGTAGGTTATTAGGTAGTTCATGTTAACACTTTTCTTTCTTGCTGTCCAACACTTACCTAATGTACTATACTCTAAACCCCTAGAAGGAAACACTCTAAGTGGTTTACTTTTTCACATGTGAACATTGTGAAATGAAATGAGAGTAGGCATGACTTAAGATTTTCCATCCAAAAAGATCTACATTTTGCCCTCTCAGCTGTCCTGAAACTGAGTTATTTACTCAAACTGAAAGCTGTCCAGCTCTTAAACCATCAAAAGTGTCATATGATACAGTTGTAGGTGCACTGTACCTACTCTGCAAATTGTTTTATATAAATTTTGAAGTTTTAATTTACATTCTTGTAAAATCAGTAAGAACTTTAATAAGACATTTTGTGAATCTTCATATATTATTCTAACTTCTACTGAATTAATTAATTTACTTGACATTAAATCCTCAGACTGGCAAAAATCATCGACATGGAAGAGACGACAAACAAGCAGTGACTCAATTTCTTATGTGGTAAGCGTATTTGGCAGGTTTCATTGTTGCATTTATGTTTGCAGTGTGATAGCCAGGAATATGAACAAAATTTCTCTAATTTTTTTCATACTTACTTGTGTTAGACTCTCCCAGTTCATGAAGTCTCTCTAAAATCATATATAATGGAATTTTTTTGTAGTCTAACCCTGAAAATGTCACTGTGATTGAGGGCTTTTCCACTGATGAAGAAGATGATGATGTGCATTTAGATTCTGACTCAGATTCCACTTTGTGCTTATCAAGGTAATAATTTTCATGATCCTCAGCTTCTTCCAGAGGTACAATAAGTAAATTTTCCATTGTCAACTTTTTGCTTCTTCAGATCTACAGGTCTTTTCTTTCACATAGCAATGTAACACAAACTTTAAGGAAACTTATAGCATTGAATAACAAAGACACATCAGATGTGCATGTATATATGATATATATGCATGAATAGCATATTATTATATACACATCTATCGACCTGTGTCTGTGCATGTAAATGCATATGTGCAGTTAACCTATATCTGGGTGGTACTATATGCATGTACATGTGATACAGTCATTAGGTAATGCTTTTGAGCATCACACCATAGAATAAAATTATGCCATAAGTCCTGTGTATTGTCCCAGTATACACATTAGCCTTAGTATAAGTATGTCATAAAGGTGCCTGTGACAATCAGGATTCTTCTTGATCCAAGGATTATTGTCTAACACCTGCATTTGTTTTCTCCCAGGAAGCTAGGTAAACCTTCCATCAAGAGAAAGTATTCTGATGTAAGAATATGTACTGTACTCTAATTTATATCTAATTTTTAATTAGTTGCCCTTGTTATGTATCACAAGTGTTATCTCACTAAATAGAACCAACACTTAACACAATTTGCAAAGTTTAATTTGAGTTTCTATGTTACCATGGATCTAATGCCAAACATTGATGAATATTAGTTGGTCAGGGAACTCCTTTCATTTCTCTAATTAAATTTTCCTTTAGTCAATGATCAAGATAGTATATTTAAAGTGTGATTGAGTGATGTGAAATGTCCTTACAATGGTAAAGCTATGTGATGCAATACACTTCACTATCTGTACAAAAAATAGTGCACCACTCACATGTGATAGCTATTGGGTTTTTTCTTTTCACAGTGGAAAGCTCTCACAGAGAAAAGAGTTTCAGCATCAGGTGGTCAGGACTTGAGTTATGCTGACCCCACACCAAACAGAAGGGATGGAGGAGATTATAAACACAGTGAATTCATACCTGATGGAGCTCATGAGCTGCTACAGTGTTCAAACACACCGACTGAGGATGAAATATTCTGGTGTGCAAGTGATGAAGAAGGTAATCTGAAATAAAGAAATCAATATTAAGATTATAGAGTTTAAAATCAACTTCAAACTTTAAGGGGTCCAACTTGGAAATACACAACTCTGATTTTTACTGCAAAAAAATCTGAGTTGTTCATTTTTTGTAATGGACAATTACAAATTTAAAAACTCCAATTTTTGTATTATAATTCTGAGTGTTCTATTAGAAAAGCAAACTACTGGATAATTGCAGAACAAAGTTGAATTATGCATTCAGGAATTAGACAACTTGGATTTTTTGGATTAAAATTCTGAGTTGTGCATGAAAGGATATATACTACTCAGATTTTTCTTTTTATGAGTTGTGTGCTTATATAATTACAAAGAGATACTTTATAATAGTATAGATTTAACAAATGTGTGAGGTTTAAAATTCAATCAAAAAAATAAATGGTTGATGCCCTATATAGGTCACAGTACTCAAATTATCCACAATAATACTGTTACAGTATATCCAACAGTGGCTTTGAACTCATCTGAATAATCATTTTCACCTGCTGTTTTGAATCCATAGAATTACTTTGTAAAGGTTTTAGCAATGGACCAGAAATTGAAAATTGTGATCCCAAAGCAAAATTTCCTAGAAATGAGACAAAACTGGAAAATGTAATGAAATCAAGGATATATAACAGCATCCAATCTACAGGGAACATGCCTGTAAGTACTGCAGTTCGGTTTTACATAGCAGTTATGTGATACATTTGAAGTCAATTGTGGTAGAGGGAGTTGATAGATGTTTAGTATCTCTTGATGTTCCTGATTATGATCTTAAACAGAAGTTAAATTCTAGAGGATTTCGGGATTCTTTGAGGAGAAAAAGTATGTATTTCCCACAAATTAGTCCGGCTTATTTACACCTATAGAGCTGTGCAATTCCTGAGACTTGCCAAAATTTTTCCCATTCAAAACATACATGTGATTGTTTCACAATTCTGCAATGCTCAAGATGAATTAGTGTTCTTGAGTACAGCTACAATTTAGTACAATACATGTATGACTTTTAGTAGGGAGGTAGACCTCATTCACAATAATTTGGCATCAGTGATTATTGTATTATTGATATCATTATTAATATGCTGGTGTTGTTTTTCATTTTGTAGGCCAAGGATGAAGCCATAAGTGATTATGAAACAGATCAAGGGAGTTCACAGGTCTATCTCGTTTTACTTTAACTATGAGTTAGTCTTAAAATTCTCCTCAGACCTCCTCCCATTAAAAGGAGAATCTTTTTGTAATGTTCATCAGTTAGCTTCATTGTCTCTTTGGTGTTAGATAAAAAGGACCAATGATCCCTTACCTATGAACTCAAGAATAAACAAATATTACTTCAGGAAGTCTAAGTACCATTTTTTTATCCCTTTTCTCTGAGTGAGTGAAAATTTTTTTTGTGTTGCATGTAGTTAAAAAACTTGTGCCATGTTTGTGCACTAGAAACATTCGTATTATTTTCAGTCAAATGTTAACTGGAGATTTAACATTTACTGTTTACAATAAATTAAACAACTTGCCTCCCTTGATCTGGAAATTAAACATTTAAGGATAAAATAATGTACATTTTGTTTCACAGGAGTCTTTATCAGCTGACATAACTACCCCCACCCTCACCCCTGTTAGCCCTGTTGTTGCTGGGACTCCTAAGACTGCCAGTGAGTGGCTTAAACAAGTTCAACAAAACTCCCCTCATAGGAGTGAAGTGGAGAAGTCTCCAGAAGGGAGGAGTGTTTATCTGAATGTATGTGATTCTGCCAAAAAGAAAAGAAAATTTTCCAGGTAAATACTTGAAAATCTAAATGGGGAATAAAGAGATGAATTATGGATAAATATCAGTAGATATTTCTCATAATTATGCAAAAGAAACTCTCTAAAAAAATTACATCTACAAAGTCAAAACTTAGAGATTCACAGATTTTCTAAATCAGTGAAAAAGTCTCTAAGAATATACAAATAAAGTATCTGTAGCCCAAAGGAAAGAAAGCTGAATAATTAATATTTATTATATACAACAAAATCTGCCAATGCAAGACATTTATTCAATATACATCAATGCACTTGTGTTTTTTTGTCTGGATTTTTGTTACAGTGGAAGTTGGTTCCTTGTGATGTAAATATAGACATGTGTAGCATGCAAGAGTTATTTTTTTTAGCCGGGTAGGTTGAGATGGGACACTTTGTGTTCCTAATGTTTTCATAACTTTCAAAAGAACAAAAATATCATATTATTTCACTTCAAGAGAAAGTGAAAAAACAATTTATCTAAACTCACACAGGTACCATGATTATTTTGTGGTCTGTTGTCTCTATTGTCTAAATACATTGTACTTCTGAGCAGAAATAAAATGTATCGGTCCCATGCTTACTGTAGTCTCCTTCAAAGCTGTTGTTAGGTCTTGTCTATTCCCCATTGGAGAGAGCCGTTGTGTGACGAGACCAAGTAACGGTTGCAAAAGAGACTGCCCTTACAGCTGTTCCTCTAACAGAAAGAAAATCAGAATTATTAGGTTGCAGTTAGTTGCCTCAAAAATATAATTCCATGTAATTTTATTGCAAAAAGCAAACTGAAACTGTGGTATCTCCAATAGGCCCTTACCAAAGACATGTTGTGATCTTGTATAAGAAAAGATACACTGAGCAAGAGAAAAGGATAATATTTTGAAGAGGGCTCCTTGATTGGTTGTTGCCTATTGGGACTTTGCCCTATGTGTGTGAAATACCTGATGAAATGCAGGTTGTTTTCAAGGAATTAACATGCAAATGGATTAATTCCAAGGTAGCTAAAAGTGAGTTTTATTCATAGAAAAAGTCAAAACATGGAAGAGTGTATGGAAAATTCACTCTCACTATTTTTTTAGTGGTGTTAGATGATGCAGTTAGAATACAAAATGATAAAATGCAGGTTGTAACTAACTAAAAAATCAATTCTTGTGTGAAGCAATCTGTCTTTGCATTGCTATACTTAGTTATATTTTATGATCAATGTGTGCTTCAGGTCTGGTTTGGCACAGCATTTGCAGCATATCATTTCTCGAGAAAGTTCAGAGAAGGCATTCTGGAATCACAGATTAACAGAATTAGAACAGAGCCAGAGAAGTAAGCATGACAATGTTTACATTCAAACTCTCTTGAAGTTCTCCTTTAAGTTGAGTCTGTGCATTTAGTTACACATCGGGGATAGACCAAATTCCAATGCTGAATTAATGTGGGACAGAATAACAGATTATTGATACTTGATATATTTGATGATTTAAAGTCTTGAAGAATTGTTTTTCATAATTTAGCATGCTGCTCAACATAAATTCTACCAGAGGATTTGGACAATTATTCTTCTGTGTTAAGGATAAATGTGCTCCTAGCCTGAAAGTGCCATGATACCATTCCAATATTAGATTGATAATAATAAGCACTTTGGAAGGGTACATAGATGGGTGTTACAAACTTCTCCAAGATGATGTAGATATTTTCTCATATTTGTTGTAGCTAATTCCTCTCAAATGGATAGATGTTTAGTTGTCCAGATCATGTCTGACCGGCTTCAGGGCTCAATTCATCTGACACAGTGTTTGTTGTGCAGTGATGAAATAAGTCTCCCACAGAAGTTTCTGTTTGTCCTATTCCCATGTGATACTTGGAAACAGTTTGCCTTGATTGTTGGAGCTACTGTTAACATTTATCCTCCGTGGTATGTTGAGCAATTTAGATTATGTTGTAAATTCAGTTGTAATTAGAGGTTACTAGCTCTGTAGTGTACACCTTTTTAACTAAGATATCAAATGAGTGTCATTGATGGTATTTATCTGAAGGGGCATATATTAGTTGGGAATTGTGTGGAGAATTTCATCCTTTAAATAGTTGCCTCCTTACCTAAGAGAAGCAGGTATCTGCATAAACAAACAGTAACAACCTTCATTTTGATAATGGTCTGATGAGATCATATATTTTGTGAATTTGCAGGCAGAGATTGGATATAACAGAGTGTCCATGGCCTGTTCTACTTGGTACATACTTCTGCAAGCAACACTCTGTACCCACACAACAGTTGCATGCTAAGAGTTTCAAGTCACTCAAAGGTTATACCTTTTTCTGTCATTCTTTAATGTAGTAAGTAATAATACAATATGTCCCGGATTTCATGTGCCATGTAGAATTTTAAAAAGATTCTTTTATAGGAGAAAAACTTGTGAATGTGTCAGATAAATAATGGAAATTAGTTCTCCTTGACTTGCACTACAGATATCTTAGACATTCAAACAGGGGATTGTTTCCATCAAACTTAATTAGCATCTAAGCATCATCAACATATTTGTTTTGGTCTTTGTTATTCAGGTGGCTTATGTATTCCACTTATCTGTGAATCAACTTCATTGCATCTTCATCAATCACCGAAAAAAGTAATTAGATACTTTTTCTTAACCTTGTTTTCCTTTTCATGATTTTTTTCAAACTCATAGGTGTAGTCCAAAGTTTTGTTTCTATTTTACCTCATAGAATTTCACACCTTTAAAGTTACTGTTTGACGATATTCATGGTGAAAATACCAAACAGAATACAACAGCAGTGTCAAAATTATATACTGCCCAGCTTGCACAACCAATCAGGTCAGAAAGCAAAAGAGGAAGCAAAGTGGACACATCAATACTTAATGCAGTAGAATCCAGTGGAGGCTGCAGTGGAGTGCTTGCCACTTTTCAGTGTTTGGTTCAGAGAGTGTATTGCATGAAAGCCCAGCTCACAAAGGAAAACAAAGAAACATGGAGGTAGAAATTGAAGGAATGAAATGCTAGCCTGTATTACATGGAAATATAATTAACTCAAGCAGAAGTTATGATGTAAACTGCAAGAAAACGGGGAATGAAATATAAGTGTTGGCAGACAATATCAGACAAGATTCAATGGGAAAGGAATAGAATGCAACATGAGAGTCATTCTGGCTAGTTGACCAAACTTGTGCTAGAGGGAAAAAGGAGGGTAACAGAATATTCGAACTGTCAAGTACGTGTAAAATGCCCAGGAAACACGTGGGTGATCAGGAGAGAAATCGACGCACATTATGCGAACCAGTTTATTTTTCTTCTTGTTTATTGATCGATCCAGCTTCTCCTTGTTGAATCAACAACTACGATCACAGGCCCAATCAATGAAAGAGATTGCTGATAAAGAATTATGGTGAGTAAACTGATTTCCTCAGAATTGTACATGAACTCCTTACATGCAACTAAATCTTATGAATGCATACATACTTTTGGTGTATTCTGTACGGTTCTTGAATTATTTTCTGTTTTACTAGCTGGAATCTCCTAGTCCAAGACGTTCACGGAATGTTTGCTGAAGTACAAGTTCCTCCACGCTTTCAAGACTCCACTGACTGGTCAGTTAGTAATGTGATAGATATTCTCAGACTGATTTAGATAACCTTTGTAATGTCACTTGCTACAGCAACCAGACCTGATAAACAATGTCTCGTTTAATTTTTATCCTCTCTAGGTCACTTCTTTCCTCTAGGTTTACGTTATATATTTTTCTTACTGCTATGTCGTTGAGCCTACTTAGAAATGAATTTTCTCTCCCTGGGTCTTCTGATTAATTAAACCGACGAGAAACGAGAGTCCCACATATTCAGATAGAAAGTTAACTTTTTGGGCTTTAAAAACACTAACAGACAACGAGAACTCAGGCTTATGAGTGGCCACAAACACTTGTTGCAAAACGAAACCTTACACTGTATGCACATGGTATGCGAACAATTAGCAGTGACATTATTACGGAATTATATTCTGAGGTTCGGTTATAAAGCACACATTTTCCTGCTTTTGTCAAAGAATTAGATGTAAAAAGTAATGCGTCATAGTTGAGAGAGTTTAAAACTGGAAACAGAAACTTACTTCTTTTATTGTTCATCGACGATATGGATAAGCCATCACATGAGATTGATCTTCCTTCTCCTCAGGAAGTCTTGCATCACTAACGGAGAAAACCAAGTATTTATCTTTTCAAATATGAAAGTACGAAAGAGAACCAACAGAACAAGGTGAATTTACAATACACCAACAACATATTGAATTTCAGTTAAATTGTCATCTATCACAGTAACCAAAAACGAAGGAAAATCATTTAAGTTGTAAAGCAAGAATTTACTTGTACCACATCATTCACAGTGACACTTGTATGTCTAAATACGTCGACTATAAGCAGTCTGAATATTAACATTATTTCTAGCGTTGTCTGTGTGTGTGTTCTGTTATATAACCTGTGTTTTCTGTTATGTAACCTGTGAAGGAAGTACCATCGTGAAATTTTGATGCACCGTACACTATTTAGCGCACATTATATGAATGTTGGCACCACTTTTTCTTTTCCTCTTTCTCCCGCACGCTGAGCGGTTTTCTAAGCACCAGTTATGCAGGCTCTGAGTTTCGCTTTTTGGTTTATTCCTATGCTTTCTAATGTTACATGTGGTCGATAAACACTTCAATTAAAAAAAACTACCAATTTCATAGATCACCTGGACTTTTCAGTGTTATACAGTCACTATGGTATTCAAATGATGACAACACAGCTAAGCAAGTGGATAAAAGCAGACAGACTGTGACCCGGGAGGTAATACAATTAATAAACCCTTCTTTTATCAGTTTTGCTGAAACTCCATCACGAATAATAACTGATTCGTCACAACTGATGATTGCTTATATAGTCTTACAGCGAATACCAGTATTAATGGCCAAACCAATCGATGTGCTTTCAAGTTTTGCTCTTCGAAAAGCATACCACTGACAAACAATTGTTTGCGTGATCCTGTTAATGACCTCCCACCCACCAACTCTAGGTAAATAGCATAAGAAAGAAGATGAATTTTGAGTTCGGTGAGGAAATAGGAGAAGGATGTTTTTCGTCTTGTCACAAGCGTGGGACAAAGAAAAATTCTGAGTCCCCACGAGGAATCCAACCTCAGAAATTCGTATTCCACACTGTGATGCTTTACCACTTAGCCACTCCATGGTGAACAAGGCCACCACTTGGTTCATATGCGATACGCGTTCTGGATACTACTAGGATCAGAAATGTTGCTAGCGTCATGTTTGATGAAACACATCCCTCTCTATTTCTTAACTGAGCCCAAAATTTACCATCTTTCTTATTCTATTGACAAACATCGTTCTCAACTCTAGATAATTGTAACATCCTTCATTGTTGTCGGCAACTCTTTTTCAGTATACTAAACAATCGCTTAGCAATCGGCTGTGGCTGCTATGCATACCTCTCGAAATTATTTCTTTTTCTCGTTTCTAATGTTAGAGTAAGAGTCAAGAAACCCTCTCCAACTGTGCGCCAGACTTCTGTTACGTATTAACAGTCCAAGAATCAAGTCGAGCAATGCTCTGCCAGGAGACGGATGATTGTGGTGACAGTAGGAGGACACTGGGTGGGTTATGTATGACATATGGCTAAACTGAATACTACTACATTGGATATTATAGTGGACTTGTCCAAGAGGTTCAGAAGGTTAATTTTTTGGTCATTAGAACAATTTTTTCCAGTTGAGTCATTGTCTTCGATGTGTGAAATGACCATCAACGTAAGGTTAAGGTTTGGAGGCTAGGTGGTCAATAATTACCCGTACGTTTTCCCCTCCGAGCATTTCGTCTGGTTTCCCTGATAATATATATATATATATATATATATATATGCACACACATATAAATGAATGTGGGTAGAGTCTACCTTGGCATAAAGTGCGCAATGCTGTGGTAGCAGAGCTAAGTATACATAAGTTAAAGAATTAAAGAGGACGCATCGATTCTCTGTTACTCTGAGTTTCGCGCCTAAGCGCTCGTCAGACAGAAAAGTTCTGTTAATAGTAGATAAGCTCTTCCCGAAAGACAGCAAACTTAGAAAAATCTTTAATCGTAACACAATCAAGATCAGTTACAGCTGCATGAATAACACTAAACAGATCATCGACAACTTCAACAAACGCATTTTAAATTCATCCAAACACATCGATGACACCGCAAATAACACCAACACAAAAGACACCAAAACTTGCAACTGCCGACAGAAGAACACATGCCCTCCTAATGGAAACCGCCTCCAATCATCACTAATCTACCAAGCCACCATCACACGGAAGTACAACAGCACCACTGAAACATACATCGCACATACAGAAAACGACTACAAGACTACATACAGAAACCACACCACATCATTCCCACACACAAAACACAGAAACTATACCGAACTCAGCAAACATCTCTGGACCCTTTAAGAAAATAGCATTGACCACTTTATTTCGTGGCGTATTCTTTCATCAAGATCACCCTACAGCAGCGCGAGCAAAAGATACAACCTCTGCTTCAAAGAAAAATTACTTATCATCCCCCGACCTGAATTATCATCAGTCAATAAACGTAATGAACTCGTGTCCTCATGCCGCCACAGAAACAAAGTGTTACTGCGTAACAATTGAACAAAGCGTTGAAATTTACCGCCACGCCTATTATGCAAATTTGTAAAGTATATAAACGATGGTTACGAATATTCTTAACAATAAAATCCCCTGATGAGTGAGTAATCACGAAACAGGCTTGTAGGGATGAAAGTATAGTCTCTTTGTATTTTTCCTATCTCAATATATATGTATGAGTCTTGCCCAAGAACATAGCACGGTGACCCGGCCAGGTTCCCGACCATTCTCTGACTGTCAAAGTTTAGAAAACCAGTGAGAATTTCTTTGTAAAGATAAATATGCTCCAACATGAGAAGAATATACCCCAAAATAAACAAGGTGCCCAAAGATGGAGACGATTATAGCGGATAAAGAAAAAGAGTTGAAAAAACAGAAACTTTTTTGTACGGTAGTTTTTTATACAGTTGGCTTCTTTGCATCGGGTTCCACTAGGTCACCGTGTTACTGAGCAAGTTGTTCTTTTCAGGTTCGCTCTACAAACCTCAGGCTGTCAAGGCATTAAAGGATTTCCTTCAGGTTCCAGACACAGTCAATGAACCACAACGAGTCAGCACATTATGCAAGCTGTTGCATTGCCGTTCAACTGGATCATTCACTACGGATAGCAACGATCATTCTTTTTCTTTCGAGTTGTTTGTTACTGACGCCTCCTTGCAATACGTAACAAAGTCTGTGGGGAGCTTTGACGGATTCCTTCCATATCTGAAAATTACAGGAAAAAGTTCCCAGGTGTTGCCTTCAGAACTGAGAACTGTGCCCACGAGTTGTGGAATGAACCTTTCTGCCAAGCATTTGCTTTTGAAAGCTCAAGGTACGTGTGCGGTACGGTATACAACTGATCTGATAACATTGATAAAAAAGAGAACATATTCACCCAAGATTTTGGAACGGGTTCTTTTGCTGTCCTTCGATCCTATACTAAGATTGGTTTTTGTATATTTGCTAGGTCATCATCAGAACTCGGTGATGTGATGATTTAAGTTTTAATAAATTATAGTTAATCTTTTCGCGAACATTGTGATGTAAGCTGTGAGAAAATTCGGTTATTGATCACTGGCTATGAACAGATTGATGCTAAGACATATACTCGTGAATAGTTGTCAACAAATAAATTTTGAGTCACACTTATATTAGTGTTGTTCTGTTACAGAATCCCACCAGCTATTTGCTGATTCGTATTCTGTGATCAGAAAAGTTGTTCCTCATTCCACTGCGGGGGTCAAAAGCTCGGTAAGCCTTGGGAGGTGAATTGTGAGTGGTTGTGAGCATTTGAACAAAGAGCATTATGTCAGTGGTTTTGTCAATGATGTTCTTCTGTGCAATTAAAACATAAATTTTCCACCTCATCCTGTTAATTTCGCTCCGTTTGAGTTGATATATCAACGCAGTTTTTTGTTTACTTTTTGTAGTTCTATGTAGAGTGTATACCGGAGGAGGTTCTGGACAGTCTTTATACCTTGAAACCAGTTTGTCTCCCTGACCTAACAGTTCATTCCTTGCTCGGTTTCATTTTTCGCGTGGAAGGTTTGGTTTTCCTTTTGATTTGTGATCACAAAATTATAAACAGTTATCCTGGGTGCAGACTTATACATTTTCTGGCTTCCTGACTGACCTAACTTACTGACCGATTAACGGACTTGCTGGTTGGCTGGGGTGACTGACAAACTGACTGACTGAATGACCAGCTCACTGACTGAATTGTTGGCTGGGTGACTCACTAATTGAATGAATGAATGATTAGCTCACTGACTGACTGGTTGGCTGACCGACTAACTGACCAACTGACTGACTGGTAGGCTGACTTACTAGTTGGTAGGCTGACTGACCGACTAACTGATTAGTAGGTTGGCTGACCAGTGGCGTAACCGAGGCTGCCAATATTTTGGAGGTTTCAACCCAACAGACATCTTTTTTACAGGTGTTGTCATCGGTGTGGACGAAGAAACAGCTTGTTGTTGGTTGGTCTGTGATACTTGTGGAAATCCGGATATCAAAGTTAAACGTGAATCTAAGTGAGTATTTTCATTGTTGTTTTCACTGGGCTGAACTTTTAACTATCAGCATCAAGAATATGACATTAACCTTGTTTATCTTGCAGTTCGCAGTTTTCCTGTTCATCTTGTAACTGTACCGTGGAATCGCCTCAAACCAGAACATACCTTGCAGTGTTTGTTAAAGTCAAGCGTGCTAAAGATGCTCAAGTCAAAATAAAGGTGAGATCGATACTCTCTCTGTGTTAATAGATTCCTTTATCTTCACGTTTCCCCACGGAAGAGTAAATGTTAAGTCGACTTACGGGACAAGTGGCCCATCCCTCCGTAACTGATCGTACTTTCTGTAGAAGGAAGCTAACATATTGTCTATAGCTAACCTGCGGTACCTGCGACTCTTTTATTTGCTTGTTTAATTTTAACGTTTTTCAAGCAAGCGGAGACAAACGTGAGTCCAGTCCATTGCAGGTTAACTCCCCCTCCCTCCCCTCCCCTCCCCTCCCCTCTCGCACGGTTTCCTGGTAACCATCTTCAAAATGAGTGAATATTTATCTTGAAAATATTCATCCCTCTTGCGATCCTCCTTTTATTCAGCTCAGTATTTAGTGCAAATTTCATTTTACTAAAAGTTATAAACTGAGAGTAGAGTTAGTACACGTAATAACATTTGATCATGTTTGGTTTCAGCTCAAACAGAGTACAATTGATAAACTGTTACCAGTGTCCTATCAAAACAGTGATCAGGTAGGAGGGTTGATCTTATGCTGTAGTTATTCAGTCCGCCCACGTTAGCCTATTGGCAGCGCATCCTGTCGGTAAAATCTTGTCTTCTGCCACAAACGAATATACCAAGGTGACCTTATAGCTCCTTTTTGAGGTGAAATACGTGTTTCACTTGGCGGTCAGTACTGCATTGTTTTGACCTCAAAATGGAGTCATAACAAAAGATCATCAAAAAACGTTAATTTCTCTGTTCGAATGTACACTCGAATCGTAATTGTTGGAAAACGCAGCACTTGTTTCGTTAAAGCATAACCTCTGAATCGTAATTTCAGATGAATTCATCTTATGTGGGTCACCTTTTCGTTGTCTCCTCAGGGATATGATGTTGATACTATATTAGGCAAACAGCTTGGACCAATGAATTGTTACGTCACAGATCTTTCCAAACAACAACATGGCAGCCTTGCAAAGGACAGCTTTACTTTGGAAGAGATACAGATCCAGTAACTCAAACTGAGGTGCGTGTTTTTTTATATGATACCCATGTTTAAATAAGATAGGAATCATCTTTTTATGTTTTTCAGAATGACTTGAGAAAGGTAAATGTTTCTTTAACTTGACAGCAAGTTATGTAATTGGCGCATTATCGTCAATGATGGAACTTAACTTGACTCTCAAAAGTTTTCACACATCAACTAACCTTTCCTGTGAAAAGTCTTTGAACAGTAAAAATGGCTAGCAATTCAGGTCACGTTAATCGAGAAGCTGATTGCGCGCGACTCCCATTATTGAAAGCTGTCTGTGACGTCCGAATTACTGACGACATACTGCATTAAAAAAAACCGGAGCAAAATAAACAGGAAAAATAATTTTTTTAAAATGATGGTGAAACCAGTGAAATGTTAGGTAAATATAATTCGAGGTAACTTCTTCTCATCAGTACAAGTACAATATGTAATTGATTAAAGTTTTCTTTTTCCTTCTTTTTTTCCATGGTTTAGGGAGCATAAGGGACATCATGAATATTACAGTCAATACCTTACATCAAAAACTTCACATCCTCAATGAACAAGGACAAAGATTGCTTCAACGCGGTAACACCATGAGGAAGATCAAGCAGAGCAACATATGTTTGCAGAAACACGTCATTCTCATTGCACCACTTGGAATCGTTGGCTGTGTGATTCTGTCTCCGTTTCTTCTCTTCTCGTTTTTTGTTATGGCTCCTTCAGTGTTACTTTTCTGTTCTGCAATAGCGCTCCTGGTGATGTCGTTCTCATTATTTTTCGGATTTCTTCTCAATTGTTGTTTAGTAATGTTTGTATTTGTATCGTCATGTCATATATTATACCACATCTGCTTCTACACCATTTGCCGTATCCAAACTTATTATAAGTACATACAGTCCTCACCGTCTTCTGTGTACCAATACCTTAGAGCACGAATGTGCGAGGTTTTATTGCAGCTCGTAGATATTTTGTCTGACGACATACCACAGCAAAGAATTGATGGTAGAAAATGCGTGGGATCTTGTGACTCGAGCGAGCTGGAAGATATTGAGCCAGATTACAGAGACAGAGAAACCAAACTGTACGAGGCTTTGGTGAACAGTCCTCAGAAAACTGGCAAGGACACCTTTGAACCTTTCCCTTATTAAAACTGGTATACACATGAAAAAAAATTATTATACAATCTATTTTGACCAATGAATTCTTAAGAATAATTATTTAACGTCGAGCCCTAGGACCAAGAACCTTTCAAATGTATAAAGAAAATGAGTCGAGTTAGTGGTTTTTTTCCAGTTCAAGGATTTATTTTGTGTTGGTGTTAAAGTGTCATTGTTTGATATGCAAGTTGAGACAAAGATTGTTGAAAAGACAACTGTTCGAAGCTAGATCTGCTGTGATTTGTCAATTAATGAACCTCACTAATGATGCAGTTGGTAGGTCGGTGGATGGCAGCCGTGAAGGAAGAATGGGTTAAAACATGAGACTTGACGAGACAGGCAAATGTTTGAAAGAAGGCATATAATATTAGAGGTTGCATTATGCATATTATATCCCCATATAAGAGAAATGGTTTGACTGGACTCAGCACCGTGAAGTCCAGCCGTAAGCTTTAGCCAGGTTATTGTCTTGAAGAACGGTTTAACTCTGGGTCCATCGGTGTTACAGAAATCGGGAGAAGTAGGATGATCCTGTTGGGTCGTGTCTGATGATTATCCTGTAATATTTCCATAAGTCAAAATATTTCTTGTAATTGTATCGGTTAAATTGCAAAGAAAGAGTTACCGAATAATTTCCAATGGAACGAGAAACAATGAGTCGTTTAAGTTACCTGATTTTATCAAAACCAAGAATTTGTTGTATTCGTGTGTTCGCTTGGGTTACGAGTATCAGTTCAGGAAAGGCATATTTAAAAACCATTCACCGAAGTGAAGGTAGAGGTTACTGCGAAGCGGTGAGATAAACATTCACAACTAGTCATGGACATTAAGGTGAATAGCTATTTTAGCATGTACTAAAACAGTGACGTAATACAGCACAAACAGATGACTCCTGTGACAATTACAATATTTTCAGACGCAAATCCCGCGCTAGTTGCTCGGAGGTGAAAAGCAAACTTAAGAGGATGTTCGCGGTTTGACGCTATCCATTGTTTTCGTAAATATAGGTTATTGAACAAAAGTAAAGTCAAGATGGCTGCATATTGACTGAGTTCTTTTTTTTTTTTTTTTTGCGTTTTTATGGGTCGAGACGAAGTCTTGACCGAACAAGGTGATCAATAGCAAGTGATTTTGCTACGCATCAAGAATGACTTGTTTTTTTCGAGACCCTTAAAAGAAGCTAACTGAGTTTGTAGCACAGTAAACCCATGAGAGTCGTTTATGATTACTTTGTTTTGACTGTTTTATGCCACTTTTTGCGACACCATCGCCGACACTGTCCAAAACTTGCGAACTTTGTAAGTCCGCGCCATGCAATGCTTTTCTCGAGCGGAATCTAAGTAGACTAAAGCGGGCAATCTCAAGTGCGCAAAATAAGCTCATCTTGCCTGCCCAGGTAGCCAATCAGAACACAGGATTTGTTTCATATTGCCCACGAGCACTGCCAGTGTTATAATAAATACTAATACCTAATGGTCTCCATCAGGTTAAGCCGCGTCTGAGAGGTCTGGGTTCCACCTTAGGTAGGGTCAGTGTTCTTGGGCACGGCTCTCACTGCCTCTCCCTTGCTTCCTCGGGTAGGCGAACTGTCAAGAAAACGATGAATTTCTAGAGGGGATTACCTTCAATTAACTAGCATCACAGTTATAAGAGACGTTAAAAATACTCCTTGATTCTTCGCGCTACAGAAACGTACATCACTAACCGCCTCCACTTCGGTCAATAGTTGTTAATTATAACCAGGACCCGGTATTTCAAAACGAAATGGAAACAACGAGAGGATGAGGCTTCTAAGTAGAAATTCAAGTTGTTCAGAGCCGGGAGAAAGGAGGTCTTTATGCTTACCTCGGTCTTGGAAATACTGCCCTCGGCCTACGGCCTCGGGCAGTATTTTCAAGACCTCGGTCACAGTTTTTCACCATACGGACCTCCCAGCCGGCAAATAACATATATGTATAACTGTACCCTTTATAGCTGGGCACCACTTTCATGTTTGGTGTATGAATTAGGCGTATTCTTGTATGAAACTTGGATAACTCTTCATCGGTAACAATTTTTCTTTGTAAGAAGTGCGTGCGTTTAATTGTTCTTCTAAGGCTGCTTGCACTTTAGCGCTCAAAAACTTCTTCAAACGAGGATTAAACTATTCAAATCGTTGTATTTGGCATGCGCCGGTTTCTTCAGCAACAAGAAACTCTTTTAAAACACCAACATTAAATACTCTACCTGGATTTCAGTTGCGTTGTAACGTTCTCCACGTCAATTCATATCAATATCTATTCAAAGCACCGTACTCTTTTTTCATATCCACTGCGTGTATGGTACATAACAGTCTAAGATATTTAGCAAGTGTTCTAGCCAATAAGTCTTCATTATTCAGCTCAATAACTAACAAAATTCTCCATTCTTTAATATACGTGCGGTATCCACATTCTTATGTTACTTGTAAACCACCGAGGTAACTTTTCGTCTCATCTCTTTCAAAATGCAGCCAACCATGGCGAGGCCTCCTCGTCATTTTTCAAACGCTCTTTTATTCGAAAACGAACTGAGAACTAAAAATACGTAATGCATGCATGTAACTGGTACGTTGGTATTTCGTAACTGAAGCCAACTATCAGACCATTCTGTAATATGAATTTATAACGTCAAGTTGCGATTTGGGTTGTAATGACCAAGTATCCTCTTATCTCACTCAGTATTCGCGAGATGTAAATTAAAAGGGATTCATTTATTAGATCTAACAGAATTGCGTGTCCTTCTTTACACAAGAGGGTCTATTCAGTAAAGAGAAGATGAAACGTTGCTCCCCAATTAAGCATAAACTGACATTAACGAAATTCATCGGCGTTCAGAGCGACTTGCAAACGACTGTGTTTTTTGTTCTTGAGACTAGAACCCATTCACTGTTGAGACGGGATAATTTATATTTCTTTGTTGATTTATTTAATTGTAAATTTTTACGTTCTGTTAGTGAAATAATTCATTCAGATGAGGATAAGAGGTCTGATGTGATCTCAATTGCTTTGTGTTTAAAGAACAATTGACCAATCGTGAGGTTTAAGTGGTTGTTTATTTGTTATACATAAAGCAGTATGTTTTCGGAGGTTACCTGAATAGCCGCAACTCTCCTAAAAGTGTTTGTAAATTATAGTCTCTAACGTTGACTCGCTCTTCATTCAGCACAATTCGCCGACAAGATGAGTTATTCAGTTTAATCAATGTTTGCATCAGCGGTTAATACTAATTACACTTCTCCTAGTTTCCTACAATTAACTCTTGTGAAGTCACTACGAAAGAAAGCAATAGATTTTGCAAAAGTATGACAGCTTTTTAATATCTGATTTAATAGCAATAACTCACGCTCCCGTGCGGGAATGAAATATTTTGTATCATGTTTGAAACTCGTGAGGACGGAGAGATATTTGTGTTTAAATTTCAGTTTGCTACACATTACACTTGCCTAGGGGAAATGACTTCAGTCACACAAAAGTCTAGTCTGTGCTGCATGTATGTTCATTGCACTGGGTAAAAGATAACGGATTGCACCTGGAGACAAGGACTATCCTGGTCGCACGAATCTGTCACTTACTCATACTTGTAAAGGTAGAAGTTCACCATTGGTTTTGGCAGTTAGCGTTTGACCAAATTACCCATTGGTAGAGGTTTGAAACCGGGTTAGCACAAAGTTTACGACTTGTGATAGCGGCGAAAGCTCTTGAATCTAGATTAACTGTTGAATTTCAGTGTAACTGGTCAAAATTTTTTTATCCATACACGTTTGTGTAGCTCTTTAGCATCTATTGAACCTGAGTCCTAACAAAGTCTAGTGTCAGCAATAACACAACAAAGTAAAATTGAAAAATTTCGGAATAAGTTTATGGAATATGTCATCACCCTGAGAGCGCCTGCAGAGGGTAAAGAAAAAGTATCGGGGAAGAGAAAATGATTCGTTTAATTCATGGGTTCAATATCGCAGACTAACTGGAAAGATGAAAACTTCCATTGACCTGGTTTTCGAAACCCCAAGCGTTCAAGGATTAATAAAAGTGCTATATTATTTGCGTCTATTTTCAGGTGCGTCAAAAGCGTGCTGTTGTCTTATCTATACGCCTCTCTATACAAACCTATATTGATGGTGAAACAAACCTGATTATTATCAGACAAGACTTTATCATTTTTACATTCACTCATGTCACAAGTACTCAGGTAGCTTTTGAAATACGAGATCCTTCCTTCCTTCATAGATCCCAAATAAACTGAGTATGCATTACATGTATGCATTACACGACAGTGTCGTACTTCCCTTTTCTTTTCTTTTTTATGTTAACTTTTATCGCGTGGATCTGTCTATCTCGACGGGTTTACCGCCGGCCCTCACCCCACCCATATCCCACCGTTCAGTCTGCGTTGAAAATCCAGTGGCTACGTCATGTATGCCGTAACCATCATGGCTGCCGAGGTAAAGACAGAATCTTTTTGTGGACGTATTTTATGTGTCGGTCTTGCCGCTCTTGATATTGTGAACACGTGTGAACGGTATCCAAATGAGGATGAAGACTACAGGGCAATATCACAAATATGGCAAACTGGCGGTAACGCATGTAACACCTCAACTGTGCTGGGAGAACTGGGAATTGATTGCGAACTGTTTGGGACCATGTCGTGTGGACCACAGACTGATTTTCTTTGTAAACAGATCAGAGAGCGAAAAATACGCTATGAAAACTGCGTTTTCCACAAAAATTGTGGAACGCCAACATCTTCTGTCGTGTTGAGCCTGAACAGTGGTAGTAGAACCATTGTGCACTCCAGAAACAATCTCCCGGAACTTGAAGTTGCAGATTTTGTGAAACTTAACTTGACAAACTACAGGTGGATTCACTTCGAAGGAAGGAAAAACGAGGAAGCTATTGTGCAAATGATTGATAAGATCGAGGAATTTAATGCGACTCAGTCATGCAACGAAAAGATTTCTGTATCTTTGGAATTGGAGAAACCTAGAGAATCTCATCTTCTTTTACTTAACAAAGCCGATGTAGTATTCATAAGCAAAGAGTTTGCTCGATTTCGCGGTTTCTCTTCGTCTGCTGAAGCAGTCAAATCCATTTACAACAAAGTCAAATCTGGTGCCGTGTTGATTTGTGCATGGGGAGAGGGAGGTGCGGATGGAATTGGTCCTGATGGTGAAATAAAACACAGTAATGCCTACCCCCCAAAAGTAATAATTGATACTCTGGGAGCAGGGGACACATTCAATGCTGGAGTCATTTGTGGTTTGCATGGAGGATTGACTCTTCAAGACACATTAGATTTTGCTTGTTTCCTGGCAGGTGTTAAATGTGGTATCCAAGGATACGATGGCTTGGCTAAAGCTGTGGCGAGCCATCATTGTTGGGAGACTTACATGAAGGGATTAGTGAGCAATAACCTAAGGTAACAATGGTGGAACACATTTGAGACAGAAGGAAGTTGTGATAGGTACAATAATGTGTAAGGTACTATTTAGCCTGGAAAGCAGTCTCCTTTTTCTCAAGTGCCAAGTGGGAGTAGTGCAAGGTGTGAGCTTAGCAAGAGTTATGTAAAGGCAGAGGGAAAAAGGGAGCAAATTTCATAAGAAGCAGGTGAATGAGAAATGAAGGAAAGGAAAAGCTTGTTGGTGAGTGTAGCTATTTTACCAAAAGCCTTAGAAAGTCTCCATCAGGGCAACAAAGGTCATGAGCTGTCACGTAACAAACACTTATCATAACCTTCTGTTTAGCAAAATAAAAGAACACAATTTTTTTTCCACTTGAGAAGAATGTTTAATGCTGTCACATCAAAGAAATGTGCAAATTGCTTTTGCATTCCTTGTGACAAAAAGTATTTCCAATTTGAAGGTCTCTGAAGAATCTTTTTTTTCCTAATTTTTTAATCATATATTTATGGACAATCTTGCACTCTGATTATGACAGCTATGGGGAAAAAAATAAACCTCTTTTGAAGGCAGCTCCAATTTTACTTGATTTGATCTGATCTCTAAATTGGCAGTAAGCTCTAGCCAATCTGTTCACATCAATAGCTTTTATTGATGTATAACTGAATGCAGCTCATCTTCCCTCCCCCTTGCTCATAATTTTCTCTGCTCTTTTGCCCTATGCCTTTAGCTCATGCCCATCTTGCTACTTGCTAGGTTTCATTGATTTATTAGTGAAACCTTAGTTATGTGGGCAACTATGGGACTGCTCCTGTGTCCACTTGATACAGATCCTGGTACTTAAAAGGAAATTGTGCAATAATTCTTAACAGTTCATTTTTGGAGAACAAATCAACAGACTGAATTTGTTTGTAAACAGAATTGTAAATAGACACTTATGTTTGGTGGTTACATTTTATCACCAACTTCACCAGGAACCTCTCAAACCTTGCTAACAAGGGTGCTGGTTCACTTGTGACTTAAAAAAATCCTCACTCAAACAAACTTTTTAACTATGTAACATATCAAATATTCCATTAGTGTACAGTGAAACAGCACAATAGGAGAAATCACATTTATGACAGAATTGCAAGGGTATTTATGAGGTTGCTTTAGACATCTGATTTGTGCAAACCACAAATCTTTCAAGGCCATGGCAAATTGAGACATACCATAAATTACATCAACTTCTGGAATGAAAATTAGGCAAATGTGAACAGAATTAATAGCGCCCTTGATTAAACGGTGATTTATTGTTTCCCTAGCTGTCTTGAGTAACTTACATTTTAGGGGATTAACCATTAATTACATAAACCTTCCTTTCATTTCCTTTAAAACTTACACAGTAGAGATAAGCTTGATTTTGTCAAATGTTTTTATTCTCATGTTCATCTTACAACCTATGAGAGCCCTTTGCTTTTGTACAAAATTTTCATGTTATTTACAGGCAACAGCTATTGTCCTAAGTTACAGTGTAATATCAGCATTGCAGAGTGCAATATTTTAACTGACATATTCTCACAATAATCCTACTCTAAACTTCTTTTGCATCCTAATTTTTTTAATTGCCATCTTTGCTTGTTGAAAAGTTTAGTCAATTATGAATATAAATTTTTAGAAATGAAATCCGCCCATTGGTAAAGGTTGTGGAGTTCCAAACTTGTATCCTTCACTTGTAGCTTCTGGGGCAATCTGCTCAGTCTCCTCAGCACTCTGAAGACATAAACCAACACAAAGAGTTTCTTTTCGATAATTATTTGACAATTTCCTTTTCCTTTAAGTGCTGTGATGCCAGAGGTCCTTTAGCCAGTGCCATAGATCAAAAGCCATAGTCAAAACTAAATATGTTTGATTTTACTGTAGCAACTTATTTACAACAGAGTCCTAACATCTTTTGGGTTACCAGACAATTAGATGTCACTATACAGAGCTCTGGCAGGGAGCCTCTTATTTTGTGCATAAAATGAGCATCTCTGGGGTTTCAGCTGTTTATATAATAGTACACTGTATTTTTTCAATCTGAAATGAGGGCAACAGGGCTTGCAATTGCATGTGGGTAAAAGTATAATAACTAAGCCTGCAATTCACGAAAGAGGTCTCCACTGAACCAAATATAGCAGTATCATGCTTAGATGAAAAACAATGTAACATTTAAAGTAGAAATGAAACCTCACAGTTTTCAAGAAATCTAAGTCTGAAGATTTTAATGTTACCTCCTCTGAGAAAAATTTGTCAATTATTGCCAGAGCAGCTTTGTACACCTCAAAGTTTTGATGTGTCTGTAAACTCTCAATTCTTTGGACACCTGAAGAAAGTAAAAAAGGAACATCAGTCACTTTCTGAATCACTCCACATGTGAATTAGCTCAATTTCTTATTTTCAGTGAAAAGAGACTTCGATCTTTAAAGAAAGAAGCCACTGAAATTCTTTAAGGCAAATTTTAGGCTGTTCTTCAAACTAAATTAAATTACAGGGTTATATTTTTTAAATAAATGGAACTTTGGCTTCATTTAATTTTGACATAATATTTTAATGTGTGCACACAACCATATTGTTTTGCATACCATCATGCTCTTCCATTTGGGTGCAGATCAGTTCAAGGATGGGAGCACTTTGACCAGCAGTCTGTGGGTAGAACATTTCACTTGGTTAAATTATGAAATAACAAAAATACATTTACCCAACATCTACAACATGCTATGCCCAAAATTTTCAGGCTCAAACAAGTGAGCAGAAACAAATAATTTGTTCTATAGATCAGTGTATGCTTCTGTGGTTTGTCAATATCTAAAATATATCACAATTCTCCCACTGAGGGTAAAAATTAACTGCAATGTGTTTAACACAAAACACCATTTTACAGTGCCTTTCAGAATTGTTTGTACTATAAGGTTAAAGGCATGAACAGGTAGATACTCACTGAAAGAATGTTTCTGAATCCATCTAAAAGAACAAGGATTACCTAAAACACAAAGCTTGAGAGTCAGTCCACCAGAAGCAAAAATTCACAGAACAGAGCTCTCTGTAGAGCTGGCTGAGGTTTCAATCCTCACACAGTATTCATTCAGTTATTTTTCTCTCCTTTACTCTGCTTGCATGATATGTAGGTTCCACTTGTTCTGTGTATCAATTTATAATGTTATAGTGGGAACATTTATCATGTTCCAGGGTATCAGTATTTAATTTAGTGTCTGACTGTACTTAGTGAGTTAGCCCAACCATTTCCAAGACAACTCTACATGCATCAGAAGCCACTAACTGTACTAGTCGTGTTCAGAAACCATCCTTGTCAGTCATGAACAATGATCATATGTCATAATATTATCTGAATGGACTGCTCTCTAATCAGAAAGAAAGTCAACAAATAATAAAAAACATTCCAGATAAGCATATATTTGCTAAAACTCCCAACTGCCAGGAAGCAAATCGATTGGCTTTTAACACAGGGAAGCAGGAGTGGATCTCAGAGTAACCAATATACATATAACAGGTGGCAGGGTGTAGGACAACCATGTTACAAGTCCAGCACACAATTAACTGATGACAAAGTGAAACCCACAACATTACCTTGGCATCCAAAAAATTCAAGAGACTACACATTGGCTCAATAACCCCATTTTCAACAAGGAAGGTTATCTATAAAAATAACCAAACAAAAATGTATCAAAATTTTGGGGTTAGAGTGGTATGAGCAGAACTATTTACCTTTCATGAGCAAAAAAAAAAAAAAAGGGGAAACAAAACATAGGTAAGAAAATTAGACAGTTTCCCTACCACAGCAAAATACAATCACAAGTCATCAAGTGTTTGCCCACAACTTTCAAGAGAGTAAAATCCAAAACAGGTACTTATGTGAGAGCTACCTTGAATTAAAGAATTTCTTGGGAGATATAATTTCTTTCCTGCTTAATTGGTAATCAAGGCAAATAAATATTAAGACATTATACATGTTTCTCTTTACTGTGAGATGTTACATTCCTGTTCCACATTTTTCACCTGATAGACATGTAAAGCATTCTCTGTAAGAGCAAACAACACAGTACCTGGTCTATTGTGCTGGCTGATGTAAAGTTGGTGATGGCCCACACAGCCTCTTTCTGGCTCTTTAAGTCCTTTCCCTGGGATTAATGCAAATTTCAAAGGCAAGTCTGATCACAAGCCTAGTAACTCAACCTGCTACAGCACATTGGAATTTTATAAAGCTCTTTACATTTGAGGAGCACACTTATCAATGGTTTATAGCTTATTTGCAATTTAAGGCCAATATTGTAAGTCACAAACCTTTAAAACATCTATAATGGAAGGTACCAAGCCTGCATTAATTACAGCCTGAAAATATTGAAATAAATTGTCTGTTAACACTCACATGTTAATATTCAATAAACATTTTATCACCTTGATAGACTCTTCCAAGGAAGGGAAGGTGTGAGGGCTTAATTGCAATGGCTATCATGAAAAACAACTCTCTTTTGGTTGGTTTCTTAAACATCTTAGAAATATGTTTCATTAACTAATCTCTACACAATTTAAGTTTAGTTAAAACTGTAGTAAGCAAAAAGTCCTATACCATGCTACATAGTTTTACAATTAATTCACTTTATGCAGTCACAATCAGCAGATACTGAACATTTATTTGTACCTGAATTTGTTCTTTTGGACCAGCTGTAATATTTGATATTGCCCAGGTTGCCTCCTGTTGGAAAAAATCATAAGCTGATGTGGAAATTTCAGATGAAATTTTCCCTATGAATAATATTCATGAAAAATGTTTTACTGACTGCACAATTAAAAAAAAGAGCAGAAAGGAGAACTTTTCTGGAATATTGCAAACTGAGCCAACATGACAATATTAAAAAGGGAAAAATCATCCCATTCAGCTATGATTGGGTGGATTACATTTTGACAACAAAAATCTGGGAAAAAACAGTCCAAGAAGGTTTTTTCCCCTTGGAACTTTTAAACAATAAGAATGATCATAGTTACCAACTACAATTACTGATTTATCACTAGATCTACACTGACCTTAACAATGCTAGCCTTAGAGTGTGACAAAAGCTTCTTA